CCAATCTTCACGTGTTTCACCATTCAATAGTGCCAATAGCCATATGGAGTGTATTTAAATTCAATCCCAGCGTCGAGAACGCGATGTATCCGTTCATCAATAGTATAGTACATGTATTTATGTATCTCTACTATACGTTGGCCTCATTTGGGGACCGGTTTGAGCCGTACCTCAAGTGGAAAAAGTACTTAACAGGACTGCAATTGATTCAATTCATTCTGATTATCGCCCATTCGGTGAGAGCGCCGTTCATCGGCTGTGCCGTCAGCTCCGGCTATTTCCTACTCATATCGACGGCTTTGGGCGGAATATTCTTCTATCTATTTTATAGCTTTTATTTGGATAATTACACCAAAACTACGAGATCTCATAATCGGTGTAATAATCAATTGACAATTCCTGCCATAAATTGCGAGCAAACTGTCCGTAGACTCAGTACAACAGCTATTAATTATCAGCAAATTATCTCATAATTCGTTACTATTTCATATACAATATAATCACTCGTTTGCCACACAAAGTAATTTACAAATCAAATGTTATAGAATTATATAGTCTTTTAATTAACCGGTTATTAAACTTTTTTACAAATTTTATAATCATTAAAAATACATTACTTTTTGTTGTTGTTTGAATTGAGATCTCCTGATGATAAGGTTTTTATAACTATATTTCTATATAGTTTTTAATAAAACTTATTTAAACAATAAAATATTTTTTATATATAGGAGTTTAAGCAAATTTTATGCTGATATCACATATTGTTTGTTAATTTTGATTTATAATCACTTGTTGTTCAGTATTCACCGTATGTGGAATGTGCAAGGGCATTTAATTACAAATTACTATACTGTACATGATTATTTTTGCATCATCACCATTGTTGATTCAATTGTTTTTGAATAGAAATTAATTGTTGGCCAATAATGAAAAGTAGATTATCGACATTGTGGCCACTTTTGGCCGACACCTCCATAAACAATGAGTTCGTTTGGTTCGCTAATTGTATTCCTTGGGTTACACTAATCACACGATCCGAAGAGAGGTCCGATTTATTGGCTATAATTAGTTTGGATGTCGGCTGCGGTCTTGCATTGGCTCCGATTATGGGAAACCAGCTGTCTTTCAATGACACAAAACTCTGTTCATCGCATATATCATACATAAACAGTACGGCATTTATCCCTGAAATTAATGATTTTCAATATTAATATTTTTTATTCAGAATTTATTTAAATTACAAATAACTCTTTATGACATTTATGTTTAGCTTAAGTTAAAGTCTATGTTTAATAACTTATAAATACCTGAGAAATAATTGGGTAAAAGGTCTCGAAACCTCTGGTCTCCCGACGGATCCCAAAAGTGAAACTTCACTAAACACTCGTCGATATACATAGACTTTCGGGCAAAGTCTACACCCATTGTCGGCGATAGGGTGTCACCGGAATTGTTGGTCAGTCTATTCAATAGACATGATTTGCCCACATTCTGGTCGCCGACCAAAAGTATTTTAAAGTAATATATGGGACGACAAACGGCACTATTCTTCTCGTTTGCCTTCATATCAAACATTTTATAATTAATATTTAATCAAATGAATAAAGTGTTGAATAAAGACTTACTTTCTTCTTGTCATTATCGCAATCAATGCAATCGATTTGCAGACAATTTCCCATAATTTCTCACAAATATATTCAAAAATAAAACACTGAATATATATTTCAAAATTACTTACAATATAAACAAAAAATATATCATAATTACTGTTATGAGTCACTTAATAATGATTTCGCTAATCAAACACAATTCAGTACTTATTCATAACAATAATAAAACTGATAATAAAATTCATTATAAAACTTGCGTTAAAATGATAAGTGATTTTCAATAAATTTGTTTTTTATTATTAAAACATAACTTTTTATCAATATATTACTTTTTGCAAATGACATTTTACTGCATAAATGATCCAAAAAACCAACAAATTATATAAGAAATGTGTCCAAGTATTTACCCTAACGAGTAAGGATTGTAGTTATGGTAATAAAAGTGATCAAATAAAAACTTTGTATCCCATCTTAACATAAAAAACTTTATCACTTAAAACAATATTTGAAATTCTTTGTCATTCAAAGTATCGATTTTCAATTACGACAATATTTGACTCAAATATACGATTACACCATATATTGAATGCGAAAATATAAAAAATATTTAACATGTTTAGGAAGTTTACGGCAAGAATAACATTGTTTCATAACAACAGCTAATAATAATAATGAACCGGAATTTTGTTCACAATTTATTCAACGCTTGAGTGAGTGTTGGAATGAATGGGAAACGAGTTATGCTTATTGTCACAAAACTAACAATATTTTTAAACATTTGATAACATTATTATATTAATC